ACTTTGTTGTTGTTGTTAAGTGCCCTAGGGTCAGTTCTGACTGATAAAAGCCCTGTATAGGGTTTCTGAGAAAAGGCTGATGGGTTTGAGCCATTAACCTTGTGGTTAGCAGTCCAGGGTTTATCCTATAGCCATCACACCAGGACTCCCAGCCAATTACTAGAAGCTGAAATAGACAAGACAGGACCATCCCCTAGAACCACACCCTAAATTCTGATTTCTAGCCTGGAGAGCTATGAGAAAAGAGATTTCTGCTCTTTAAAGGCACTCACCCACACGCTGGTGGTATTTGTGGGATGGCAGCCCAGAGGGAATTAAGGCACTTGTCCAAGGCAGAGGTCATCCTAACAATGTCTTTATTTGACACTTTAGTCTTACCTCTGTAGTGGGCATTCTGGGAGCATGGTGGCTCTGTATGATAAGCACAGGGTTTGAGCCCAGCAGTCCTTCCACAGGACAAAGATGAGGCTTTCTGCTTCCACAAAGATGTACAGCCTTGGAAACCCTATACCAGGTCACTATGAGTCAGAACTGACTTTTGTTGTTAAGTGACGTTGAGTCACACCTCAACAAAGTGCATTCCAGACAGTGAGTGTGTGCCATGGCTGGATAGCAACCCGAACCAAATGAGAACCCATCTCTGAAACCCAACACTCACCCACATAAGCCCAAAGCTGTGGGGGTCCCCACACAGATGCCACAGGTCTTCTCCCAAAGAGTTGCAATCTGGTAGTGGGCCCAGGGGACCCAGGCACCTACTCAGGAGAGAAGAGGCAGCCACAGGAGGGTGTGTGATAGCCCACAAGTAATCTGCAAAGTTCTAGGCAAAAAGTCTGAGGGTAGGAAGAGAGAAAACTCACGTGGGCTGATCATAGGGAGTTTTGTATTAAAAAATAACCTACTGAACCTACTGCCATTGTGTCGATTCCAGATTCCAACTCAGCGACAGCGATTCCACAGGACAGAGTCAAACTGCCCTGTAGGATTTCCAATACCTCATCTTTACGGAAGAAGATTGCCACATCTTTTTACTATGCAGTAGCAGATGGGTTTGAACCACTGACCTTTCAGTTTACAGTCTAGTACCTTAACCACTGTGCCACCAGGGATCCTTATAATAAACAGAAGCAACCTTTTAATGAATCCCTAATCTGTGACTGTGGGGGGCCCTGGTGTGACTCTGTAGGATCAGCACTGGACTGTTTATCTAAAGGTCGGCAGTTCAAACCTCCCAGCCACTCCTTGGAAACCCTACACAGGGTTGCTATGAGACAGAACTGACCTGACAGCACTTAACAATAACCATGTGTGCCAGTGGGAGAAAGATGAAGCTTTCTACTCCTGCAAAGATTTACAGCTTCCAAACTCCTCTGCAGGGTCGCTCGGAGTTGGAACTGACTTGATGGAACACAGTAGCAGCAAGGAACACTGAGGAGTTCTGGTGTGGCGCTCGCTGTAGGATAAGCACTGGACTGCTAACTGCAAGTTCAGCAGTTCAAACCCACCAGCCGCTCCTCAGAAATCTTATACAGGGTTGCTCAGAGTTGGAACTACCTCTAGGGCACTTAACAACACAGGCAACAAAGAACCCTGTGGCACTGTTGGTTAGGTATTAGGCCATTAACTGCAAAGTTGGTGGTTCAACCCACCAGCCACTTTGAGGGAGAAAGATTAGGCTGTCTGTCCCTGAACAGACCAAAAGCCTTGGAATGGAGTTGATGGTAGTGAGTTTGGTTACTCACCATGGACTCAGCCAATATCCGTGCAATGCCCACGCTGTGCCAGGCCAGCTGCTAATGTTGAGCAAGCGAACACATGCTTTCTGCTTTTGCCCAATATGGTAGCCACTAGCCAGGAGTCCTGGTGTGGCACTGTGGGTTAACATGCTGGACTGCAAAAGTCAGTTTGAAGTACAAGGTCAGCAGTTCAAGCTTACCAGCTGCTCCTTGGAAACTCTATACAGGGTCGCTACTGGGTGGAACCAACTCAACAGCACTTAACCACAACAAAACCATGTGTGACTATTAAAATAAAAATGGAAAATTCACTTGTTCAATCCCACTAGCCACATCTCCAGCATTCAATAGCCCATCATCACAGAAAGGTGTATAGCACAGTGCTGCAAAGACAAAGACAGGGAATAGGCAATTACATAGTTGGAAAACCCAAGAAGAGAGTTAGGGTGGTGTGGTGGTTAAAGCCTCTGCTGTTAACTGAAAGTCAGTGGTTTGAATCTACCAGCTGGTCCAAGGGAGAAAGATGAAGCAGTTTGCTTCTGTAAAGATGACAGTCTTGGAAGCGCACTGGGGCAGTTCTACCCTGTCCTAGAATTGACTTGACAGCAATGGTTTTGGTTTTGGTTTAAAGGTCAAGTCGTTCTGGTGGTACAATAGTTAAGTGCTCAGCTCAGATGCTGATCAATAGCTCAAATCTACCCGTCACTCCGCAGGAGAAAGATGAGGCTTTCTGCTCCTGTTAACACTTACAGCCTCAGAAACCTCATTCAGGGTGTCTACGAGTCATAACCAATTGGTTGGTACACAACCACCACCAGCTGCCAAGGGAAAGGCTGGTGACCCTTCCAGTGGGTCTGAAAGACCTGGAGATTTCCTTTGGTAACAATGACAGTCTAGAAAACCCTATGGGGTCATTCTATTCTGTCACCTGGAGTTGAAATGAGTTGAAATAGACATGACAGCTCCCAACAAGAAGATGGTAAAGGCTGTGCGAGTAGGCACAGATGCAAGGAGAGAACATCATCATTACTGTTACGATTCTCTTTGTAACCAAGATGCAGAAACTGGACCTCTGAAAGATATATCATTTTAACCAAGTCCATAGAAGATGTAGGCACTCACTCAACTCCTGAGACTTGCTACCGTGTGGCATTGGATAGTGTACTACTCTGGGCCTCATTTCTTCAACTATAATAAGCTGGACCCACTCATCTCTGAAGCCCTTCGAGCAATGGTAGTCTATGATTCTGCAAAAACGAATGACATTAGACTCAGAGAAACAGTAGGAAGCGGCGCACGGGGACAAGAGAAAATGCAGAGTCAAAGTCACACTGAAATGAAGGGTAGAAATGATGTCACACTAACCAAACCTAGTGAGTGTGGGAAAGGAGACGGGGAGGCATGGGGGATAGTAGTGGGAAGGATGGGAGGTAATAAAGGGAATAATGGATCTGCTTTTAAGAAATCTGTAAAATGTTAGAGGTCAACATTTCACACACTCTCAGAAAAGATCACTTTCAAACTGCTTTGACCCATGATCCACACAGTTGTTAGGTGCCATCGAGTCACTTCCCACTGGTAGCGGACCTATACACAACATAATGAAACACTGCCCAGTCCTGCCTCAGCCTCACAATTGTCACATTTAAGTCCATTGCTGCTGTCATGGTGCCAATCCATCTCATTGCAGGGGGTCTTCCTCTCTTTCAGTGACCCTCCACTTTACCAAGCATGCTGTCCTTCTCCTTGAACTGATCACAATTTCAAGTATGAGAGACAAAGTCTAACCATTCTGACTTCTAAGGAGCATTTTAGCTATTCACACTTTACCAGGATATACAACTGAAACAAAAAGTTTATGAAATAATAGTTGCCCTTATTAAGAGCAACAAACTTACTTTCTATCCCATTCAAATTCATTGTTTTAAAGGTGGTTACTGTTACAGAATTTATGTCAAGATCTATTAATGTGTCATGGCCCAGTTTTTGAAACCAAGAGGAGATTCAATGTTCCACTGCTATTAGACGTCGTCCTGGAGCAGGCTGCGGACTTCGTCCCAGAGGCCCAAGAGGCCCCAGACTGAAGTGCAGCTGTGATCAGAGAGGGTGAAGAACAACCTAACCCTGGGACCTATACCTGGAAATCGGCCGCCCAGGTGTGGAGGAGGGCACAGAGGACGTGGACCGGATGGGGACGGTCCAGATGGCAGGAACCGGCAGGAATTAGCGACCACCCGCGTGGAATCGCTTCTGCAACCGTGACTCTACGTAAAGTCCACCTGCCTGTCGTCCTCCGAGAGGACCGCGAGTGCCCACGGCTCCCTTCATTCATTCAGCACGCAGCTCAGGTGTTAGGTGGGGGACACATTGTGCCAGACGGGGCTCTCTTTCTAGTCCCCCCACCCTGCGCTCCAGCACACACACATGCGCACACACGCACACACATGCACGCGCGCACACACTCATGCACATACATATACACGCACGCGCACGCGCGCACACACACAAAGTTCTGGAGGCTGCCTTGGCGACCCGATTCTCCTTGCTCCAAATTCTTCCTTTCCTTTATCTGCATGCCTGGTGACCCCCAACCCCAGTCCTCGGACGCCCCTCTTCGGCCTCTCCCTTTCATCCTCTTCCCTCCTCGACCCTTCCTCAGCTCCCCTCGACTTCTCCGCTTAACCCTTGCCCCGGCCCCTGCGGCCCGGTCCCTGTCCTCCAATCCCGCCGTTTCGGTCCTTCTCCAGTCCCAACCCTTCGGTCCCTCTAGATCGCGACCCCCTTGGCCTTCGTGCCCCGGTTCCCTGTCCAGGTCCCCCCGCCTCCCTCCTTCTTAGGCCCCGCCCCCGGCTTCACCAGCTCCTCCCCCTCGATCCCGACCCCCTTGCCCGGCCCTCGACCGGGTTCCCAATCGCCCCTCAGTGGGCTGTCCCCTCCTCCAGCCCGGCCCCGCCCCACCCGGCCCGCCTCCATCCGTGCCATCGGCGCTCGATTGCGCACCCCGCCTCCCGGCCCCCGCCCCCCCGCGCGCGGCCTGCGCTCCCCTCCCCCTCCG